GAGCTTTTCAAGCAATTCACGAAAATAAGTCAAGTTTTCTTCAAAGAGGTTTCGTCGTAGACTTCGAAGTCGATGAATGCAGAAATCATACATAAATCATCAATGATCTCTAGAAAGTTTCACATGAAAGTGGATTTCCGCACAGAGATTTCTAATTTGTACATTGCTACTGACCAGTTCAATGATATACTAGGTATGGAAAGATCAGCGTGAGAAAAGAATTCGATGATCGTCAGATCATTATGGCGCATTGCCGGTCCTTGAAAGCATGGATATCAACGGCTAGATCGGCAAGAACCTGAAACGAGCCAAAATTGAGAGGGAGGGTATTTTTTCCAGTTTGGCTTCCGTCTAAGAGCACGTGCGAAACGGAAGTCGAACTAATTCTTTGATTATCCCCCCCCCCTAAAAATTTCTAATTTCTATGTTTTACTCAAACCTAACTATTTCATTCGAAGAAAATCGTTCGCTTCAAAGGATGTTACTATATGCTGATGCAAATAGTAACATCCTTTGAAGCGAACGATCATAGCATGACAGAAGACAGATCTGTTTCCTTTATCCGAGAATCGAGCAGAGAAACATCTCACTTACAGCATGTCGCAAAATGCGACTTTCCCATATTTCCAGAGAAAGATTTAATGGCCTCAATAATCACGTAATCTGGCTGTATGTGAGCTTCACAATACTATCTTCTGGGAGAGCTGAGATTTTCTACGGGATTCAACTAGTGCTACTCCGATCGTCCTTCCGGCTTTCAGTCAATACCAGTGATCGTCTTAACCTCGGCGTCATCGCCACAGATCAGTGAGCCGATAAGCCTTGCAGCTTCTGGCAAGAGCGGTATCGACTACGCCAGGCTAGCCGTCGATTATTCTTCCTCCTGCCTCCATTCAGGTTCTACTGTACAATCAGACTTAAGCCGTTTGGACAGAGCGAGCACCCGAAGTAAAGCGTGAATTATAATGTTCTGCTGTAGTCACGTACAATGCGCGACGCATTGACGCGCTGAAGTGCGTGCTCGCCTCCCACTATTCGTTTTCTCTGCGCTCTCTCAAAGGAGAGAGAATATGTCGAGCCAACCCGCCAACTATACTGAGCGCCGTTCATGTAGGAGGTGGAGGATGGCACGCACGCCAGAGTGGCCTCGCTCGCGCCTAGTCTAGCGCGGCACCCGGGGATAACCTCCCCTAGCCTGCGCGCAGAAGCGCGACTTCCACTCTTGATGGCTGCCCAAGTGGGTAGCCTCCATTGTGAGACATAACCTTAGAGGAATGTCAATTGCGGAATCGCGTTCTCGTGCGAACGCGCATTGTACGTGAACTAACGGCAAGGAGTCGTAATTCCACGGCCCTTACTTCGCGTGCTCACTACTGTCTAACACGGCTTTACTCTTACAATCTTTCTATTCGGGCTTCGACGCCCTTTCGGCTTCCAATACCGGTGATGGTCCTAAACGCTTCGGCTCCCCTGCAGTTCCCTCGCCCAAGAGAGGTATCAACTACGCCAGGCTAGTAGTTGATTATTCTTCTATCTGCTTCTATTGAGTCCTACCTGTAATAGGTCATTTCTAAGTTTCTTGATTTGACTAATCTTTCGCCATAACCAATAACCGAGGCCCAATCATATCAGCTTCTCAGCATCGATTCGAAGCAACTTCAATGCTCTGTGGATTCTTCTGCTGTGATTTGCTGACGAAGCGGCGTTCCTTCGCTGTTAATATTTGTTACTGGAATAAACTAGTGCATTCTAAACCGGCGTTCACTTCAAGAAGCGAGCAGCCCCCTGCAGCAGCGCCTCTTATTCGCATCAACTTAATGCGACGAAAGGGAGGCTGAATGACTAATTTTCGATAGAGACAAACCGTTATACAAGTATGCTCAATTCTTGAATTCGTAAAGATGTTCAGGTCCTAAATGAAAGACGGTAGCATGGAGCATCTCAAGGAGCTCCAAACACGCAGGTAAGTTGCATGGTCCGGCAAGTCAACTTGTGAAAGTGCAAATGCCCGAGGCTCACCACACGGTTGACATTTCTCTCCGTTTCTTGAGTAAGCCATTAGAAGGAATCTTCCGGCGGAAAAAGCTCCGCCTCCATTACCACAGAAAAACGATACCCCTTAGGCCCCTAGCCTCATGAGCATAGCAAAAAGAACGGAACATAAGTGTTAGTTTCGATAATACTAATCCTACACACAAGACAAAATGATCACTCTTTCCGTGGAAATGATCACTCTTTCCGTGGAAGATTCCTTTAAGGTATCGTTTTCTGTGGTAATGGCCGGCGGAGCTTCTTCCGTGGAGGATTCCTTTAAGAGCACAAAGGAGAATACTGTGGCGCTCAAAATCACAGTGGGGCTCACGTTCTTACAAGGGGACTGATTTCAACGTGGAGATAATGCAAGATTCACATTAAAGGATGGAAAGGTAAGCATTTGCCGTTGATCAATCCCTTTTTTGGGATGCGGCACGCATTCTACTTCCATTTGTACATTCGTAGTGGCGTTTGAATGCGATGTGGCCTATACAATGACTTGCGGGGGCCAGCCGATGTACAAGTCAGTGTTTTTATCCTCCCAGACAAGTCTGGTACCAATTAACCGACCCCGGAGGGATGGAAGGCTTGGTTGGCCCGGGCGACTCACGACCCAGGATTTGATCCCCGGACCGCGCACGCGCCACTAAACCACTTCCGCCCCAACAGTAAGATTCACATTATACAATTAAATGTAATACTATAAAATAAAAGATTTACATTGCGTTGGTCGATCTCATCAACACGCTGCACTCCTTCGACTTTCGCTCACAATCGTAAGGATGTGATCTATTCATGAGCCATCGTGATTGTTCATTAGGCTCAGTAACTTATATCGCTATTTGTATGTGGTCTTCAGCGGCCTTGGCTGTCATCCTGGAAGCTTAGAAAGCAAGCGCTTTTGAGGATTAGAGCTTCAAGATAAGCCTAGCTAGAAGCTGACTCAAAGTGCACCGGAATCTCTAGAAGCTTCTAATTGTAAGCAGCTACGAAGGAAACACCGACGAAGGCTCAACACCGCCGTCTCGTCGTCAGCTCGTCAACAGGAGAGCTAGGCCAGATTATTTTCATCGAGTTTGGTTTGACATCAATTAAAGAAGTGATTCTACGGGGGTCGACAGCGGAGCCTGAACAGAAAAAGATGAATCCATTGTTCACTTTTAGCCCAATCCTCTGACCCCATGCGACAAGTGGTCGAAATGAATAATAGAACCTATGAGGGCAAGGGGTGGAACTTCCAGCGTGGTCTATTTCTTCATGGGATGCACCACGCATTCCGCAAGCATCCAAGATCATTAGAGTATTTGAATGCGATAAGGCCTATTCTATGGCAAGGGAAGGCATGCCGATCTATTCGGTATATCCTCCATGATTAGTGAACCCTGTATCAGTTGACTGTGTCTTCGCAGAAGATGCAAGGCTTGATTGTTCTAAGCAACGCTTGACCCAAGACTTATTCCCGGACCTGTAGGCACCGTAAGTTGGGCACCGCTTTCACGACACCACTACAGCGCCATTACATTTATATCTCTTGAACAGATTACTATATAACTTATAAAAGCACACAATCTGCAGAATATTGTAAGCAGGCCTTTAAGGACATGGATGGAGGAGTTGGGCAACAAGTACTAGAACATTACCTGAGTGATGACTTTCAATCGATCTGTGGTAGAATCAAGTCGTTGAGTGATTTGCGAGTTCAAAGCCGACGTGTCGAATTCAACATCTGGAGCGGTTTCGCCCTGAAAAAGTAATATATCGTAATAAATTAACAGATACTGACATTATGAAACTATAGCTGAGCCTACATGAAAAATGCAGAGAAAGTCAAAATTATCACCTTTTTCTTCCGGTTAACGTTGTTATTGTCTTCAATCACATCTGTACACATCATTTCCGCGTCTTTAATGACCGTCAGTGGCTGGAAAACACTACCAATCAATTGAAATCCTTCCTGAGAGAAAGCGTTGAAGCTCCTTACCGCACTAATCATGGCGTCTTCAGTCATGTCTGTGCCGCTGTCGCTCAAGCTGAGTGACGATCGTTTCAGATTCGACCTACAAGAACTCAAAGATAACGTACTTCAAGCTTCCTTCAGACATTATTCATCTGGGAAACAAGCTGATCCAGCTCAGAGCACGTTAGATCCGAGCCAATGGAATTAAAAATTAGTTCAACCTAAATTTAAGGGGAGGGGGCGAGGAGAAAAAGGAGACGTTGGTCATGTGGTGCATCAGTGTAGCTAGTGGAAAGAATGCCGGGGTACATGGAATTTTGCGGTGAAACACTGCTGAAATATTATCCTATCTGAGGAATTAAGCTCTTTCTCACTCGTCTTCGTCGTGGAGAATTGAAGCTCTTCGTTATCACCAACAAACTTAAGAAGGACTGTTGCTTTTGCGAACTTTTGAAACGTGCGAAATGTGCTCAATCATGCCTCCTTCCCCCGCGGCTTCTTTGGGACCGTCGTTTTGGTAGGGAAAGATCACTGCCAGTCTGCACTCCAAGCAACGTTGCTAGTCACAAGAGCCTTTTCCCTTGACACGACCCTGGTAAACAACCTGCTCATCAGGCGCTCGTTGGTTCAACAGATTTTGAAGAGCTAATGAACTGATAGTAAGTCATTGTTCAAAGACAACTCTTCATAATGTCCATTGACTTTGCCAAATATTGTGACGTAATCTGTTAATGAACAGTTGACCTTTTTGTCCCCCGATCCCTCTCTGCCTCCCCCACCTTGTAGGCACAGCTTCGCTTCGAATCCTCCCATGCTGTGAACGGGATATGAATGAGGAGAAAATCGCCATAACCAAAAAATTGGCAGGGCAATGCCTGCTCTAGGAGAAAGCGCATCATGTTACCCCTACCGAGAGGGAAAGGCGAAATGAGGAAGTCGATGTGTATGTGCCAAATTTGATTCCAGGAGGGCTTAGTTGAATTTGTTTTTGCTCACTTTCTTCCACTCACCTGCTCCACGTATGTTGGCTACCGTTGCAGGATAAAATTCATGACTGGATTTCGGGCACGGAGCGGATGTTGTTCAGATAGCTCATGCAAGGAAGGAGGAAGAGACAAGACCCTCCTTGAAGAGACCTTTCGAAAACGATAAGCGAACAGTACATACTACCTTGACTCCCACTTAAGGGTTAGGAATCACAAGACCGTTCATCAAGAATAAAGAGCGAGGAAACATGACATAACCCTGGAGTGGAGCACGACCTTACCTACATGTTTGCAAAACTTTTACCGTGCCCGGATTTTAACCCTTAATGATTCGCAATATGCAACTGCCGATCACTACCTTTGCACCCTACCACTAACATCCACCGTTAAAGAACCGTTGATCTGACATGGGAGGTTCATTCAGGGTGTGACAAGCTTTATGTTCATTCAAGCTGCATTTTTCGCGGATTTTGAAACGTCAACTCGAAATGCAAAAATTTGTCACCACGAGGAATCGAACTAGGGACCCCTTTTCTGGTATTCAGAGAGGGCCGTTCAGGAAAAATGAACCATGGTTCTGTGGTTCCCACATGTGCCCCAATGTCATGCAAGAAACCATTTTGAAAAAGCTTGGCACACCCTGAACGACCTCCCTTGTGAGTGTGGTGGGTACTCGCTGTAGCGATCTCACAATCTTGCCCGTGCCAATGTGTACTAATCTGTTTGAAGGGCTGTGTGCATCTTCACAGCCCGCGTAATGTTCCTCATGTCATTAAGGGGGAAATTTGAGTGAGGAAGCCACTTACAGAACTGGGGATTAAGGCTTGGGGAGGGGAAAAGATTCTGGGGAGCATGTGAACACCCTTTGTTCTCTCTCTTCTCTCCAGCACCCTTCGTGAATTTCTTGGGAGAAGAAGGAGTGCAGGATATCCAAGTAAAGGCGCTTACCAGCTTAGTTTCCTAAGGATATTACACTTGAGTTTTGCTGGATAAAAGCTGACTTGCCTACCTCTTTCGTCTCATTCGTGACGCACGTGGAGACATTCTCATCTGATCGGATGGCGTGTGTCCGGCATGTTCCAGACAAAACCGCACGTATACGCTCCTAAAGATAGACTCATATTGACATCATAATATGTAAATTACACCCATCTCTGAAGCTCTCAATATAAGCCATGAAATTAGCCTTGGAGACCGACAACATTTCAAAGATATACGAAATTTCCTACCCATCGACTCTTTCCATGACATGAACAAACGCTGTGCACGAGACGGTGCTGCCTTCGCCTTCGTAGTATCGAGCAGATTCCGATAGACGCCGTCGTTTTAGCATTGGAAACACACGACGGCGACATAGAAGGTAAGTACTCCTGAATTGCATCGCTAAAGTCAAAATGACACCTTGAGGGATTCCAATGTCTAACCTTATCTTCACCAGATGGCCCTTCTTCTGAGCCAATGTAGCCGCCTTCAGTGCGGGAATCTTCCACCTTGGACAGCCATGCCTGAAAGATTTTTTGAGGCTAATTCTGTTTCAACAAGTAGGTCGCTGCTCCGTTCACAAAGCCACTAAGCAAACATAACTCCTGGCCCCCTCGGTGGATCGTTCCGAAAGTGCAAGGCCCACCGGGAAGCGATATACTTTGATATTAAGGCATGAGAATTTGTCCCGGGAAAAAGCAAGTTGATTAAGAATGATTATTAATTAAAAAAATGGAAAAACCGAGACATGACCCAAGCCGAAAATGGATACCCTTGGTTGCCCGTTAATTCGGCATGGGGCGGGACTTGACATCGGGTTGTGGCCCTTTCTTCAAAGCTAATCTCGCATCGCCTACTAATCAACCGCGTAAAATGCAGTCAGTTAGGTCATGTCGTTTGGGGCGTACGCCCAACGCCCAGACTGAGCCATGCTAGATCGCCTGATCAAACCTTTCGTTGCCAATTGCTGTCACTCCACACCCTCAGGAGGTTCGCATGTCTCCCCACCAAGCAATTTTTCCCTCTTCGACCTTCGTTCTTATCGTAGAATCTTTCTTCAATCAATGCATTGAGGGACATTCGGAAATCCTAGTTCAGGGTCCATACTCCTGGGCCAATCTGTTGAGATATGCAATTAAATCACGTCTCCTAACAGTTGTGGCAGTGATGGTTGATGCCACAAGGTCTTTCGTGGAAGGCTGCTGAGGAGCGAGTTTCCTCCCGTGACAGGTCAGTGCAGCTATCTTTGACTTTCGAAAAGTTTTTACGACCGCCCTCCTTCAGGAAGAGTTTCCTACGACCCTCCCACCCCTTCCGACCAATTTTTTACCTCCATTTTTCCATTTTCTCAGGGGGCGAGGTATATACGCGCGCTGAAACGGCAAATTTTCTCCCGCGCCGCTCCCCTCTCATCCATATACCACTTCACAGCCTCACACTACACCTCCCCCCCCTTACAAACCACCCAAAACATACGACCCCCTTGCAACATGTGGAACACTAGAAGGACCTGTGCTCCCGAGTCCCGTTCCCCTCACCGATACTGGCTATTGACGTCATCAAAACCGCTCCCCTTTCCAGCCATTCGGTGGGGTTCCTTTCCTTAAAACAAACCCGGATATTAAACTGGTTCTATCGACAACTGAGTGAATAGCACAACGCGGAACGACCTGAAGTGACAGAGAGAACTTTGGGAACGCTGAAATCAAGCTTTAACCGTCAGTTAACTCTTCCAGTAGTGCGGAAGTACATGCAACCATGGGCGATGAAAAAACACTAACAATATCCAAGAGAGCAGTCGTTCGACAGAGCACACTGCTTCGAGGAACCTTTTCTCGGGCTGGGGGGGGGGGAGTGTGGAACGTTGGCAGCGATATACGATTGTTCATGCCCCGTAAAATAACCTACCCGCGCAATTTTTGCGACGAAGCTGGTGCGATCTAGGTAGGTAGGGACCTTACAGTTTTCCAGTTTACAGTTTTTACAGGTATCCTTCCCACTATTCGGGCTAATCCCGGGTTTGCCTTTAAGGAAAAGGTATGTACTGTATAGTGTAGACTTGCACTACCATGCAACTGCATACCATCCTACAAAAATTTTCTTGAATGGTGCGCAGCTCGGATAGACAGACACTGATCGGGCATATACGCCGGGGTGTCTCCAAGTACACACATGTTTCACAATTGGACCACACTATCGCCATTGTGACATCGAAAACAGATATACTCTGAAGATCTCAGAAAACCCACAATCCGAGAGGATAAAGCGATAAGATTGAACTACTATCAGAAAGGAAACACGAAGCATGGGAAATTCCAGCTATGAAAGCAAATGGGGGGTATTAGAAGACATAAGAACTACGGATGACTGATCAAACGATCGTGAGGGATACGGCATCTCATCACCAAAACTACGAACCGTTTCGATAACGGCATAGCCTCAGCCATCGGCTGTTGAGAGCCTTGCTGCTTACGCCATTCACACCTTCGAAGCAGAGTCAAAAATTGAAAAATTGATGTCAATCAATGAACAAAACAGGTTGGCATCGAAAATTTCTGTAAATCCTTCATTTCTGATGCCCGTTTTCTATTATTGATGAGAAAAGACCGAGTGCACGTGCGAAACGAAAGGAAACCTTTTTCCCCTCCCCTTCCCAATGGATTCCTTTGTTTCAAACGCCCTTTAATAATTCAACCATTTTCTTCACTAGAAGTACCGTTGGGAAACAATAGATCATGCCATAGAGCAAATCACCTTTAATGTTTATAAGAGAAAAATTGCGAAAGAACCAATTATTACAGCACGGCAAACTCCAGCTGGTCGGCGTATTGATTCTCCATCATTCGCCATTGCCAAAAAAGAGAAGGCCATAGCAAACGTACCATTTTAAAAAAGTTTATGGTAGACCTCGGAATGGCCAAAACACTACATTTCGGATATTCAGTGGTGAAAGTTGGTATGGATTCAGTAAATACTTAAGCGCCTAAAATACACTGTTATTCGTAAAAGGAGTCGCTTAGGACAAGTTGTGCAACTGATGAAATATAGGAGAGTATAAATAAAAGAAAATTATAGCGCTCACGTCCCTGGGAGGGGCATTCAAACCAGGGCCGTGGGTAACACTAGGACTGAGCCATAGAGGGAAGAATCGTCAGGGAAACCACGAAGGCTCAAATCTCCCACAGAATCCCGTCCAATCACTAAGGCTTATTGTTAGTCTCGAGTGCTGTAAGTAGCTCACTTACTTGAATGTATCCTCTCTCCCAACCCTCACCCCCCTCCCCCGACATGAGCGCCCATTATTATTGAAAGGGTGTTAACATAATCATATTTAACATAATGATCTGAATGCAGTGCAAAATACGATGGGATAACAGTATTAGAGTAGCACGCGCTAACGCAGTGCATAATCAAATATGATAAGCGACGCCATAAGATACATAGAATAAATTTGAATAGATTAGATTAATGCAAAATTATCCATTGTGAATTTTGGCTGATGGCTTTCATTATTTTGGTGGGTATTTTTGGTGATCTTGGAATTGTTCGTAAGCCCTTATACCCGAGCAGAAAAGACTATTCATGCTATATTAGTACAAATTGAAATAAACACCGAGTGCTGCTAATTAGCTGTGCCACGAACCAGTGAAACATGGGGAACACGGTTCTGAAGGGTGGAGCTAGAACGCTCAAGAACGTTCCCCGAGTATAAGTTCTGCACCGAAAGTTCAATGCCACGAGTCGGGATTAGATGCCAGGAGGTAGTCCCTCCTAAAGTGAGTAATAGCGGTCCCAAGCGTAGGAAGAGCGACACTGTGGTGACTCAGAAGTCCGAGGCAATGGCGCTAAGGCCTTGCCTTGTATGCCGCCTTGTTGCCGCCTTATCAATAGCGGCATCGTGGCAGGGTGAATATCGGTCGAGGAAATCCTCGACAGGGGGGTCGTACCTGTTGGGCTGGTCCATGGGGGGTCGTACTCTTGGGGGTCAGTA